TTTGTTTACTTGTCTTTCTCACTAAACATCAGCTCCCTGAGGGTTAGGTCAGTATCCACCCTGGTCACTGCTGCATCCCCAGTGCCTGGCGCAGTACTGGACATACAGTAGGTGCTCAATATATATTTGTCGAAAGAGACCGAGAGGAAGCTGCTTAAATCAGCTAGAAGGTTCTCACTGAGACCTTCCAAGTCCCCACGTGCCCTCCCTCCCCGAGGATGACAGGCAGTTCCCCACCGTGTGTCAGTCCCTGAGTAGTGCACAGTGTTGGAGAGAATTCTGGTTTCAGCAGGAAAGATGGTCAATTAGTGATGTCTGCCACAAACCAGGAAACGGAGGGCAGCTCCAAAGAGATGTGGGCTCCAAAGGTGATGGGGGCATTTTTGTCTTCTTGTTCATTGCTCCATAGTTCCAGGACAATGCTTAAAATATAATAGGTGCTCAAATAAATATTTGTGGAATGTCACATACATGAGTTCCTTATCTAATTGGTTACTCCTTTCAGGGAGAAAAACACCTTTAGCTTATTCAACCAACAACGGCTGGCTAGCCATTCGGCGAGGACCCACTGTGTGCTGATCTGAGCATATTCCGCAGGAGAGGCTCTGTTCCTCCATTTACAGAAGAGGAAGCCAAGGTCTTGATGGGACTTGATGGAGGTCACCAGCTGGGTTCCGCTGACCCCAGAGTTCTCTAAGAACCCAGACTTGTGGCCTGGGGTGGGAGGGTGAGGCCTCTCCAGGCTCCTGCTCCCCACCCCTGGGCATCCCCAGCCCCCTCCCTAGAGCACGGGGCAGTGAGGCTGCTGCTTCCCTTTTGGGGCATGTCACAGGGCTGTGGTTAAACAGAAGCAGGGCCCCTGCCCATCCTGAACACAGCCCTGAGGGCCTCACCCTCCTCATTCCCTGCGCAGACTCTTCCCAGCTGACCATGTGGCATCACTTCCCCGTTTCTCTTTTCTCTGGACAGAAGGAAGCAGGTGGGGCCATGGAACATCTCACAGACTCAGTTTCCCCGTCTGAAAAGTGGGCTCAACCCCTGGTACCTGCAGGGGTTGGTCTGTGGGTGGGGGTTCAATGAGATAGATCATGAAAGATGCAGACACAGTGATAGTTATACCCAGACCAGGAAGGCAGATGTGGTGGAAGCGCCGGGTGACCCTGTCTCCCATCCCACTGAAGATCAGATCCATACACCCACCCCCGGCCCCAAGCACTGGAGTATTCAGGAGGAAGCTGGTGCTGCTGGCTCAGACCCTCCCAAGAGCCCTCTGCCCTTGGCATAGAGGCTGGGCTGCTCTCCCGGGAGCCTGTCCAGCCCCCACCTCACCTTCCACTCCCCATCTGCCCCTCATTTTGAAGCTTCGTGGAGCTGCGAGCCTTTTAGCCTCCCCTCCTCTGCTCCATTTCACAGCAAGGCCCTTGCATATGCTGTGCCCACTGGCTGGAATATTCCTTCCTCCCTTTCTCATCGACTTGGCCTCTACTCACCCTTCAGTTCACAGCTCAGCTTCTAGGAAGCTTTCCCAAGCACCCTAACCACATCACACTCCTTACCCCTTCACTGGCCCTCAAATCACCTTGTACTTGCCACAGTCACAAATTGACACTTCTAAGGGTGATATGGTTACTGTTCATCTCCCCCACTGGCCTGGGAGCTTCTCGTGGGCAGGCACCCCCAACACGGTGGCTGCTTCATTAATAGGTGTTGAATGAATGAATGAATGAATGAGTGATGAAGAATGAATGAAGGGACAGGAAAGTCAAATCCCCCCGATGACCTCTCCAGACACATCCTGCTCCGGCGTTTGGGCTCTGCCCTGCCCAGACCCCCTCCTCCAGGCTGGCTGTTTCTGTCACCCAATTTCTGGTCCTCAAAATGCCCCGTCCCTCACCTCTCGAGGCCTCGCTTTCCCGGATGGAGACGAAAGGGACAGACCTCGGTTGTGGGCTTTCAAGCTGGGTTCTACTGAGCCTGGTGGTGTTCTCAGGACAGGCCCTCAGGTCACCTGGAGAAGTGGTAAAGGTGGGGGGCCCCCACTCCTGATATCTGTCAGGACAGCACCCCCTTTATCTTTTTAGTATTCAGGGCAGTCGCCACACAGGCACTTTAACCGATGGGACTTCAACTGCACACACTCAGCAAAAAGAACAAATACGGCCTTGGAAAGAGAAGAGCCAGTTGCCACGTGGCTGTGTCAGGAGCAGGAGATGTGGGCTGGCCGATCCCCTCACGCCAAGTCTTCGGGGTGCGATTCCAGCTTGAATGCAGCCCTGTGGCTACTACGTGGTCCCTGAACGCAGGTCACAGGACGGCCCCGTGAGACCCAACTGAAGCAGTGTGGGATTACGCGGGCGGAATCTATGGAGGGAACGTACATCCGCCTGGGTCGGAGGGGCCATGTCCTTCCTGTGGAATCCCCAAGGGGAAGTTGGCTGTGGTGAATTTCCACCTTGCCAGACAGCTCGGGTGCTTGTGCTTGAGTGAGGCAGGCCACCGCTCGGGGGTCCTCTGTCTGAACAGTAGTCACCACAGCTCAGGAAAAGAGAAGACAAAAACAACAACCATTGGACAAGATGTCCCCAAAGGGGACACTGAGCATGGACTGAAAGTTCCCAGATTCCATTTCTAGAAACTGTCCCCTTCTAGACTCCTGAAGATTCTGTGATTGGGAATGAAGGCTCCAGGCGCCGGTGCCCATTGCTTGGGCACAGTGGAGGCTCGGAGCTGCTCTCCCCACCACTGCGACACCCACCGTGGTCCAGGCAGTGATCCTGGAAGGGAAAAGGCAGTGACCTCGGCCAGGGGTCACCTTAGGACCCAGGCAGTGTCCCTGTGGACTGCATCTGTGGGAGGAACCACGGAGCCCGGCACCAGCCGCTGTATTCTATGCACTGCTGTGTGCTGGCTCCCTGCTGAATAAGACACAGTCCCTGCTTGCCAAAGCTGATCTTCAGCAGGTGTGGTGGGGGTGGGTAGGGCTACTTTCAGATATGGTCTCATGAGACACCAGGGGACATCCACTGGGACATCTAAAAAACATTGTTGGCTGGGCACAGTGGCTCATACCTGTGATCCCAGCACTTTGGGAGGCTGAGGTGGGTGGATTACCCGACGTCAGGAGTTTGAGACCAGCCTGGCCAACAAGGTGAAACCCCATCTCTACTGAAAATACAGAAAATTAGCCGGGCATGGTGGTGGGTGCCCAAAATCCCAGCTACTTGGGAGGTTGAGGTGGGAGAATCGCTTGAACCCGGGAGGTGGAGGTTGCAGTGAGCCGAGATGGTGCCACGGCACTCCAGCCTGGGCGACAGAGCAAGACTCGGTCTCAAAAAAAAAAAGAAAGAAAAAGAAATATTGTCCTGCTTGATTAGAAAAATGAAACAAAACAAAACAAAACGAGACAATGAGCTCCTGGAGGAGAAAGTCCCCTCTTCTGACCATCCTTTTCCCTCCCCGGTTAGGATGTGATCACGTGGGACGTGCGGTCTTGAGCCACAGCAGACACCGGGGTCCACAAGGAAGGGAGGTGAAGAGATGCCCCCCTAGATGCCCCCCTACGGCCCAGGGCCCCCCCTGGAGACACCGCAGCGACCTCACATCCGACTTCGTGTGATAAGAGTGCGTTAATATTTTTACTGCGGCAGTCGGAGAAGATGGCTTCACTGGGGCAAGAGGAAAAACAGAAATGAACCTGAGACAGGGGAGAAAACAGAGGAGGGATGAGGGCTGGAAGAGGGTCAGAAACACCCAGCGCAGGGTCCAGCCCCACAGCAGCTCCCTCCGTGTGAGCTGCTGTTTCTGCAAACAGGAAGTGTTCCCTGAGCACCTACTCTGCACCAGGCACGTTCCCAAGCCCTGGGTGTCCATCGGGTCCTTTCAGCCTCTCGCAGTGCAGGGAGGCTTCACCTGCTCCCCAAATCCCCGCTTCCCTGCCCCATGTTCAGATTCTAAAAATCCAAAAGGGCCCGTCTGATTCCCCTCGCCCCCAGAGAGCACTGGCTCCCCGCGGTGTCCCGCTGAGCCCCACTGAGTCCCGTCTACCCTGACTTTCCTGCCTCTGGAACGGGGCGCCCACCCTCCGAGGGCCCCACGTCCCAAAGTTCTTTGTTCGGGCACAGCAGGTGCTAAGTGCCTCCCTGGACCTCCGTTTCCGCATCCGTAAAAAGCCACTAATCCTAGTCGCACCTCGCAGGCTGGTTGTGAGGACCCAGGAAGGGCCCTTGGCCCGGTGCCTGGCCTGTGGCAGGGCTGGGTGAGCGTGAAATCTGATCACTGGCCATTTATCGTTATACACAGGGCTGGCCCTGCCTCCTGCTGGAACCGTGGGTCGGTCCATGTTGGGGAGCTGAGGTGCTCGGAGTGTCCCCAGGTCCCGGACAGGGAGCAGGAGGAGGAGGCGGGAGCGTGAAGCCTCCTGGGCCCCGCCCACCCACCGCCTCGCCCTGCGGCCCCTGCTCGGCAGTCACCCGCCCGCCCGGCCACCTCAGTCTCTGAGGACCCATTGTTCGTGCCTGGCTCGGCTCCAGGTTCTGGCCTTGCCACCTCCCTCCAGGATCCCCTGCCACCCCCCGCTTGGGCCTCCCCGCAGGGTCCTAAATTGGATGCCAGATGTGGCAGCCACCCAGCAAGGGGGACAGGAGCTGTGTGACCTTGGGCACTTCCCCTCTCTGAGCCTCGGCTTCCTCAGTGGTTAAATGGGGTGATGGGACCCCACAGGGCTGCCAGGAGGAGTTTGTGAGAGTGCCCAGCATGTCATAGGGCTCGGGGACATTCATCCCAATTCCTCTGCTCCTCAGGGGCCTAGAGGAAGAGCCAGGAAGAGCAGAGGCCGGAGGGGGCAGAGCACTGGAAGGGCGGTCTAAGGCCAGGGTCCTAGCTTGGACCCTGCTGTGTGACCTCGGGCAGACTGTGGGTGTCTCTGGGCCCCAGAATGAGGGAAAGAAGCAGCTGGGATCCTCCTTCCTCCCCAGGAAGTGAAGCAGAGAAGTGGTGCCAAGTTTTTTATTTTATTTTATTTTTTTTAATTTTCAGCACAAAGGACTTGAATGGAAAGCAGCTGCCGAGACAGAGAACTCGATTGTGAGGGCACTGGAAGGAGACTCCGGGCAGGCGGAAGAGGCAGTATCTTGGGTGCTGGGCTGGATAAACAGAGACCAGGGTATTGACAAGAAGCAAGGCACAGCCTAGGGGACAGGGGGCAGTCTCCCTCCCCTCCTTCAGGGTGCTGGCCTAGGAGACAGGGACCCCGCCTCAGGCATCTCCTGCTCAACCTCAGTTTCTGTGTCGACACAGGCAGGCCATTCTGACCTCAGAGCCTTGGTTTCCATCTGCAAAATGTGTCTAATAGCGTGTCTACTTTCTAGGGAGGGGTAGGTATATGGTCACGGTCTCAGGACAGGTGCGTCAGTCAAGCAAGCTTGGCTCTGATCCTGGCTCTGCCTCTCACGGAATGTGTTATTTGGGGTAAGCCACCTCACCTCCCTGTGCCTCAGTTATCCCATCTGTGACATGGAAACAATAATAGAACTAACCCGCCGGGAAGATGAACGAGAAGACTCAGCCTGGCACCTGGAGCAGAGCAAAGATTCATGATTATTGTGGTCTCTGGTTTTGGAGGCAGAGTCCCACTCTGTTGCCCAGCCTGGAGTGCCGTGGCAGTGGCGTGATCTCGGCTCACCACAGCCTCTGCCTCCCAGGTTCAATCACTGATCCTCCAGCCTCAGCCTCCCAAGAAGCTGAAACTAGGGGCTCACACCACCATGCCCAGCTAATTTTTTGTATTTTTACTAGAGATGGGGTTTCACCATGTTAGCCAGGCTGGTCTTGAACTCCTGACCTCAGGTGACTCACCTGCCTCAGCTTCCCAAAGTGCTGAGATTCCAGGCGTGAGCCACCATGCCCAGGCATCTTTCTTCTTACTATTATTATCCCAGGAGCTCCACCTGCTACAGCCCCCTCCCCAGAAAGCCTCCCTTCCCCTGAGTGCCAGTTCATCTTGACAGTTTCCTCACACACTTCCCGAGCAGCAGCTGTGCTATGCTGCTCTTGGCAAAGCCAAGGCTCTATCTAGGAGGGGAAGGAGGTTAAACGGAGGACCCCTTGTTTGTGTGAAGGGCTTGGTGAGTAGCAGGGGCTCCGTAACACCGTCACCAGCACCCGCTCCTCAGCTCCTCTATGCCGGACTCTTTCTGGGCTCTGGGGACACAGCCTTCAAGGGAGTCTCAATCAGAGGATCTGGGTGGAGGCAAGAGGCTGGCGTGTGGATGAGGCAGTTTCTCACACTGTGGCAAGGTCTGCGATTGGGGAAGTCCAGGTGACATCGGGAGCCAGAGGAGGTCAGGATGGGCTTCCTGGAGGAAGTGGTTAAGAATGAAAATAACATCTATTCAGCATTATTATTATTATTATTATTATTATCATCATCATATGCCGGGCACTGTTGTCTCCTCAACACCCTGTTCCAGAAGGTTTTCTTCTCATACACACATTCTACAGGTGAGTCTGGGATCAAAGAGGCCCAGTAGGCTGCCAGAGGTCACGCAGCCAAGACATGGCAGAGCTGAGATGAAACCCTGCTGTGTGACACCACCCTACCCCCCCCCCGCCACAGCGCTCTTCAGGCTCCAAGCCTTTGCTCCGGCTCTTCCCTCTGCCCAGACATTCCAGACCCTACACCATCTCATCCCCACTCTACTGGAGGCATGAAGGGAACAGCCTTTGGAGGCCACAAAGCATCTTCAAGCCTCAGTTTGCCCATCCATGAAATGGGGATAACACGGGGCTTTCCTCTCGGGCTGCAGAAAGGATCGAGAAAAGACTTATTACTCACCTGGGGCCTGGCCCTCGGGAACCAGTTCCAAAGGACAGTGGTTATGATTGTGAGTGCAGTTGTTCCTATCACAGAGACAGCGCGTCCCATCAGGCCTGCAAGCCCTATACCTCAGTTCTTCCTGTAACGAAACCTGCCCGCCGAGACCTCGGTGAGGGCTCGTTTAATTATAATCTTTAGGGAAGAGAAAATCCCCCCACCACAAGCCACCTGTGAGGCTGCAGCCCACGGGGGTAACCTGATGCCCCTCGCCTGACCCGGCCCCCAGGTCTTTGTGTGAGTCCTGCCCAGATTACTGTATTTGTCCAAACCCAAGCCAAGGCTGGCATGAGCTCAATGCTCTGCATTGTCCCAGAGCCAGGCCCTCCCCAGGCCTCATCCTTCCTCCCGCTGGGAATCCGGCCCCCAGGAGATGTCACAGAGGAAATCAGAAACCCAGCAGGGTCCACTGGGGTGGCCTCCTGGGGGCCAGGCTCCAGGCTCAGGCTTCTTGCATGTCGCCTCATCAACCTTTCACGACCTCACTGCGCAGAAATGTGCCCATTTTCAGGATGGAGAGAATGAGGCCTGGCGAGCCAAATTGTTGCTACAGTTCATGCAGGTAGAAGCGGCAGAGCTCAGGTCAAGCTGAAGAAGAACCTCTCCCCAGGAGGAGGGCCTGGGGACCCTGGATCTTCAGCTGGAACCAGGCATCAAAGAGATTCTGGGGGAGCAGAGATGAAGGAAAGATGAATCATGTAGCAAGGGGCATCATGGCTAAGGATTCCGCTGTGAGTTCAAGTCCAGCTCTGTCACACACCCTACACAGAAACCTTTTCCTCTCTGAATTTTGCTTTCCTGAACAAAAAAAAAAAAAAAAAAAAAGAGAGGGAGTAGCTGAGCACGATGGTTCATGCCTATAATCACAGTATTTTGGGAGGCCAAGGATGGGCAGATCACTTGCGGTCAGGAGTTCGAGACCAGCCTGACCAACATGGTGAAACCCCATCTCTACTGAAAATAAAAAAAATTAGCCAGGTGTGGGGATGCATGCCTATAATCGTAGCTACTTGGGAGGCTGAGGCAGGAGAATCACTTGAACCTGGGAGGTGGAGGTTGCAGTGAGCCGAGATCACACCACTGCACTCCAGCCTGGGCGACAGAGACTCCATCTCAAAAAAAAAAGTAACAATAAAAATAAATAAGTGAGAGAACAATAGCTGCTTCCTCAGGGGCTGGCAGAGGACTCAGGCCATCAGGTAGGTGAAACACCTGGCAGGTAGTGAGTGCTCAATCTATAGGAGCTTAAACACCAAGCCACACCCCCGAGGAGGAAGAATCAGTCTCCTGCCTGCAGGTCTGAGATTTCAAAACTCAGGAAGTTTGGCTCCAATGGGACCTGGTGTTTGGGGAGGGGGTTTAAAAGGAGGGGCAGGGGAGCAGTTCTTGGAGATCACTCTCTCCTAGGAGTTCCCTTCTCTCTTCCCAACTTCAGTTTCCCCATCTGAACAGGCTCCTGCCCAGCCTTCCTAGACAGAATAGTTTTGGGGTTGATTTTGTTGCCTGTTTTTTTCCCATCTACACACACTTATCTAGTCTGTCGTGTGTCGGACACGCCTGTGTGGAACCATCGTGTGTGGTTTGGCGTGTGGCCTTCTTTTTTCGTTTTTACTTTTCTGCAAAAGCCTTCTCTTTCTCCCTTCTTGACCACTGAGAACAGATTCTTACATATTTTTCTGTAAGAATGAAAATCTCATACAGACTGTCTGCCTGGACAGGGGATTTCTTTATCTGTCATTTCTTTTACAAATCGGAATCACACTGGGTATCCTTTTCTGCATCTTGTATTTTTCATTCAAGAATACCCACACGAGGCCAAGGATGGTGGCTCATGCCTGTAATCCCAGCACTTTGGGAGGCCAAAGCGGGTGGATCATGAGGTCAAGATATGGAGACCATCCTGGCCAACATGGTGAAACCCCGTCTCTACTAAAAATACAAAAACTAGCTGAGTGTAGTGGCATGTGCCTGTAGTCCCAATTACTCGGGAGGCTGAAGCAGGAGAATTGCTTGAACCAGGGAGGCGGAGGTTGCAGTGAGCCCAGATCGCACCACTGCACTCCAGCCTGGGGATAGAGTGAGACTTGGTCTCAAAGAAACAAAAAAGAATACTCACACGAGTCCACGTGTGATGGCTCACCCCTGTCATCCCAGCACTTTGGAGGCTGAGGTAGGAGGATCACTTGAGGCCAGGAGTTTGAGACCAGCCTGGCCAGCATGGTGAAACAGTCCTCTACCAAAATTACAAAAATGTTCTGGGCATGGTGGTGGGCGCCTGTAATCCCAGCTACTGAGAGGGCTGAGGCAAGAGAATCTGGGAGGCGGAAGTTGCAGTGAGCCAAGATCGTGCCACTGCACTCCAGCCTGGGTGAGAGAGTGAGACTCTGTCTCCAAATATGTATCTATAAACACACACACAAAACAAGTCCTTGTGTGCCAGTTTCCATAGCAGCACTAGTCACAGTAGTCAAACGGTGGAAACAACCCCACTGTCCATCAGTCGATGAAGGGATGCACAAAATGTGACCTATCCATACCACAGTGTTCAGCCATTTAAAGAAATGAAGTACTGGCCAGGCGCAGCGGCTCACGCCTGGAATCCCAGCACTTTGGGAGGCTGAGGCAGGCCCAGGAGTTCAAGACCAGCCTGGGCAACATGACAAAACCCCCTCTCTACAAAAAATACAAACAATTAGCTGAGCATGGTGGCATGTGCCTTTAGTTCCAGCTACCTAGGAGGCTGAGGTGGGAGGATCACCTGAACCTGGGGAGGTTGAGGCTGCCCTGATCTGAGATCGCATCACTGTACTCCAGCCTGGGCAACAGAATTGGACTGAAAAAGAAAGAAAGAAAAAGAAAGGAAGGAAGGGAGGAAGGGAGGGAGGGAGGAAGGAAGAAAGGGAGGGAGGGAGGGAGGGAGGGAGGGAGGGAGGAAGGAAGGGAGGGAGGGAGGGACGGGGGAAGGGAGGGAGGAAGGGAGGGAGGAAGGAAGAAAGGGAGGGAGGAAGGGAGGGAGGGAGGGAGGGAGGGAGGAAGGAAGGGAGGGAGGGAGGGAGGGAGGAAGGGAGGGAGGGAGGGAGGAAGGAAGAAAGGGAGGGAGGAAGGGAGGGAGGGAGGGAGGGAGGGAGGGAGGAAGGAAGAAAGGGAGGGAGGAAGGGAGGGAGGGAGGGAGGGAGGAAGGAAGGGAGGGAGGGAGGGAGGGAGGAAGGGAGGGAGGGAGGGAGGAAGGAAGAAAGGGAGGGAGGAAGGGAGGGAGGGAGGGAGGGAGGGAGGGAGGGAGGGAGGGAGGAAGGAAGAAAGGGAGGGAGGGAGGAAGGGAGGGAGGAAGGGAGGGAGGGAGGAAGGGAGGGAGGGAGGGAGGAAGGGAAGGAGGGAGGGAGGAAGGGAGGGAGGGAGGGAGGAAGGAAGAAAGGGAGGGAGGGAGGAAGGGAGGGAGGAAGCGAGGGAGGGAGGGAGGAAGGGAAGGAGGGAGGAAGGGAGGGAGGAAGGGAGGGAGGGAGGGAGGAAGGAAGAAAGGGAGGGAGGGAGGGAGGGAGGGAGGAAGGGAGGGAGGGAGGAAGGGAGGGAGGGAGGGAGGAAGGGAAGGAGGGAGGGAGGAAGGGAGGGAGGGAGGGAGGAAGGAAGAAAGGGAGGGAGGAAGGGAGGGAGGAAGGGAGGGAGGAAGGGAGGGAGGAAGGGAGGGAGGGAGGGAGGGAGGGAGGAAGGGAGGGAGGGAGGAAGGAAGGGAGGGAGGGTGGGAGGGGGGAAGGGAGGGAGGGAAAGAAAATGTTTTGGACCTAGATGGGGTGACGTTTGTACAGCATTATGAATGGACTAAATGCCACTGAATTGTTCACTTTAAAATGGCTAATTAATGGTTAATTTAAACGGTTACTTTTATGTTATGTGGAATTTCCCTCAATTTAAAAACATACACATGTATCTATCTTCCACCTCCTTTTTAAAACAAAGGTGAAATACTAGTACACTAATTTCTCTTGAATTTTTAAATTAAAAATAAAATCTAGAGGGAAAAAAATACTTGTGTAACAAAGAATACTTAAAAGCCCACAAAAAACAGCAGAATGCTGGGAAGGCTGGGGTCACACTTCTCATGGTCGAGTAACGCACAGGGCGTGGACAGACCGTGGAGTCACCCATTTCCCCGAAATCAGGAGTGATGAGTTTTTTGCTTTTTGGTTTTTTTTTTTTTTTTTTCCTGAGACAGAGTCTTGCTCTGTCACCCAGGCTGGAGTGCAATGGCGCCATCTCGGCTCACCGCAACCTCCGCCTCCCAGGTTCCAGCAATTCTCCTGCCTCAGCCTCCTGAGTAGCTGGGATTACAGGTGTGCACCTCCATGCCCAGCTACTTTTTGTATTTTTAGTAGAGACGGGGTTTCACCATATTGGCCAGGCTGGTCTCAAACTCTCGACCTCGTGATCTGCCGCCTCGGCCTCCCAAAGTGCTGGGATGACAGGTGTGAGCTACCGCACCCAGCAGAGTGATGAGTTTTCACTTTGGCTTTTTTCTCTCTAGACCTGTGCAGGCACTAGACACTCAGAGTTTACTCAGCTCTTACCCCAACCCAAAGTTTCCCCCCATTTTTCCAATGAGAAAACGGAGGCTCACAGAGAAGAAAATCTGGCAGCGAATGAGCCAGAACTGGAACTCAGGCCCATCCGACCCCACAGCCACACAGATCTGGCCTCACTCTTTCTTTGGGACACAGGAAGAGGGATGTCAGTGTCACCTGCCCATGGGAAACTGACATTCTAGTTCGGGAGACAGACAAGAAACAAGACGAATCCATCGGCTGTGGCCCATTCCCACAGGTTGGGGTTATAGGAAGAAGTAAAGGAGGGAAGCAGGGAAGGGGGTGGGAGGTTGGGATTTTAAGAAGCGCTGTCAGGGAAGACCTCACTGGGAAGGTGATGTCTGCGCTTGAATAAGGTGAGGGAGTGAACGGGTGGCTTTCATCCCTTTGGTGGGACAGCAAGCACGAGGACCTGGAGGCAGGGAGCTGCCGGGAGCGGGGGGCTGCTGGGGCATGCAGGGGAAGAGGCCAGGCCACAGAGGGCTGGAGCCCGGCTGAGAGGCTGGACTTTATTCAGAGTAATAGGGAGCCATGGAAGAGTTTGGATCAAGGCCATCGGAGGTCAGATTTGGATTTTGAAAAGCTCCCTCTGGCTTCTCCAGGAGAAGGTGGCAGTGGAGTGGGGGTGGGGGGAGGCTTGTGTCAACAGTGGCTCAGGCAGCGGTCGGCACAAAGGCAGAGAGAAGCTGTCTGGTGCTGGACAGCTGAAGCAGGGGGCGCGGAGAGGACGTGCCTACCTCCCCACCTAGACACTCCTGAATTGAGTCCCCCTCAGAGGAAGCCAGCCCCCAACCACCCCAAAGAAAGTGCTAAGAGCGGAAGCAGAGCTCTGCTGACTCATGGGCCTGGACCTCTCAACTTCCCTCCCGGAGAGCCCTAAGCCCAGAAGATGGGGTGGGGATCCCTGCAGGGACCAAGAGCAAATGAATAATTATAACTGTGGTAAGGGAGAGAAAGTGGCTAACAAGGTGACCGGACTTGGGGGGTGTCATCAGAGAGGGCTTCCTGGAAGAGGGGATGTCTGAACCCAAATCAGAAGAATAAGAAGGACCTAGTTTAACCAGGCCAAAGATAGAAGGAA